GGGGGTTCGCGCGAGGCAACCCGCCACGGTCGACGGTTCCGTGGTGTAGAGAGGGGCTAGACCCTGAAGTGGGGGGGCTCTTAAAGGCAACCGGGTGCCGTCCGACCGTCGGAATTCGGTGGTGGAGGGAAGTCCAGGTTAAACCGTCACGCGCTATCCCCTCCACGTGGCTCGTCGGTTTTCCCCCCACCCTTAAGGTGGCAGCGCCTCCACCGGGCATTCCATCGGGTGGCACGCTTCGACGGGACGACAGAAGACGTTCGTCGTTCGTTCAGTCAGTCGTGCTCTGACACCCGTCCCAAGTGGTCGTCAGAGTTCAGTGAGTTCACAGCGAAGCGAGAGCAAGTTAGCCAGACTAGCAAGGGACACGGTTCTCTTACTACGTTCTCGGCCGAATATTCGTACACGAGACTTTTTCGTCCTCGTTCTGTCAGTCACGCTTGGATTACACGCTGGCCATCTCTGGCCAGACATCAGTGAGAACGCACCAGCCAACTTGGATTACCAGTGCAGTGCTACGCGGCAAATTGTGCGTACGATTTGTCGGTCGCTTTTCATTCTGTGATACACGAAGAGTTGACGCACGATGGTGACCGGAGTGGGTGCCACGATGCCAACAGGCGGTGTCACCGTTGGTGCCACACCGCCGGCGCAACACGTGCCCCAAGAGGCTGGACAGCCCACTGCGCAAACCACCACCACGACTACAACCACCAGAAGATCAGGGGAGAATCGACGGGTTAGTGTCTTTGACAGAGACATAGCTTCTTTTTGGAGCGTTCGTTGTCACGAGACCATCGATCTCGTGATGTCCGTTCGATCGAAAGTCCACAAACAGTATCAGTTTCGTGACTCGAAATATTCGATAGTAGGACCACACGATTGCACCGTTTTGCGTATTCGGAATTGTCTTTGGAATCGAACCGATAGATAGAATAGAGTTTTCGGGGAAATGTATATTGTTGTGCATGAATGTGGAACGCGTCCATTCTGAACGACACTGAATAGAACTAGCTATTCCTTTTCCGAAACAGCGACAACAGAACATTGTACTCGGACTGTTGTCCCGGGTTCATTATGATCCTTTAGAAATAGAACACCGGACTGAAGTAGCTTAACAGTGTGTTTGACCTGGCGATTTCTTTTCTGTTGCAGAGTAATAAACCGATTATGGAAAAGCGGCGACGAGCCCGCATTAACAACTGTCTAAACGACCTGAAGACCTTGATACTGGATGCCATGAAAAAAGACGTAAGTATCCTAACATCGTGCATTTCGAATTTTCGTGCCTCGATAATTCTCGACAGTTGTCCGCTCGTAAACTAGTCTCGGCTGTCACGATTTTTCACCGGGAATTCGAGCCAACTCCTAACATCCGAGCCCTTATATAATCGTCGAATTCTCTTTCTGATTACAGCCAGCGCGACACTCGAAACTGGAGAAGGCGGACATCCTGGAGATGACGGTGAAACACCTGGAAACGCTCCAGCGTCAACAAGTTGCGCTAGCCGCCGCGACAGATCCGACCGTGCTGAACAAATTCCGAGCTGGATTCACGGAATGCGCCGGTGAGGTTGGCAGGTTTCCCGGTCTGGACGCCTCTGTGAAGAGACGTTTGATGGCCCACTTGGCCTCATGCCTCGGACCGGTCGACGCTAGCAACAACAACACTCAGAATCAACAGCCTGTCCAACCGGCGCCACCGACCACGCAGCTCCAAGTGCACATTCTACCTCAAGTGGACGCGACACCGAGGATCCAGGTTCAACAATCGAACGGGATCTTCTTCACGAACGCGAACGGCACCGGTCTCCAGCTAGTGCCGACCAGGTTGCCCAACGGCGACATCGCTCTGGTTCTTCCAGCCGGTGCAAAAACTACCCC